AGGTTTTCGCGCCTGGCCGAAAAGGAGATCATTAAATGGATATTCTCATACTAAATTGCAGCAGCAGTCTATTAGTTTTTTCAAATCCGTTAAGGTGTTTGCGCCTGGCCGAAAAGAGCATCAACAGAAAGATATTCTCAAACAAGAATGCAGCAGCAGTCTATTAGTTTTTTTCAAATTCTTTAGGGTTTTCGCGCCTGACCGAAAAGAGCATCAACAAAAAGATGTTCTCATACTAAATTGCAGCAGCAGTCTATTAGTTTTTTCAAATCCGTTATTATGTTTGCGCCTGGCCCAAAAGAGCATCAACAGAAAGATATTCTCAAACAAGAATGCAGCAGCAGTCTATTAGTTTTTTTCAAATTCTTTAAGGTTTTCGCGCCTGACCAAAAAGATCATCAACAAAAAGATGCTCTCATAAAGGAAGAAAGCAGCAGCAGTCTATTAGTTTTTTTCAAATTCTCCAAGGTTTTCGCTCCTAAACCGAAAAGAGCATCAGCAAAAAGCTGCTCTCATAAAGGAAGAAAGCAGCAGCAGTCTATTCCTTTTTCACATTCGTTAAGGTTTTCGCGCCTGGCCGAAAAGGAGATCATTAAATGGATATTCTCATACTAAATTGCAGCAGTCTATTAGTTTTTTCAAATCCGTTAAGGTGTTTGCGCCTGGCCAAAAAGAGCATCAACAGAAAGATATTCTCAAACAAGAATGCAGCAGCAGTCTATTAATTTTTTCAAATTCTTTAAGGTTTTCGCGCCTGACCAAAAAGAGCATCAACAAAAAGATGCTCTCATAAAGGAAGAAAGCAGCAGCAGTCTATTACTTTTTTCAAATTCGTTAAGGTTTTCGCGCCTGGCCGAAAAGGACATCAACAAATAGATATTCTCTACAAAATTGCTGCAGCAGTCTTTTACTTTTTTCAAATTCGTTAAGGTTTTCGCGCCTGGCCGAAAAGGAGATCATTAAATGGATATTCTCATACTAAATTGCAGCAGCAGTCTTTAAGTTTTTTTTCAAATTCTTTAAAGTTTTTGCGCCTGACCGAAAAGAGCATCAACAAAAAAATGCTCTCATAAAGGAAGAAAGCAGCAGCAGTCTATTACTTTTTTCAAATTGGTTAAAGTTTTCGCGCCTGGCCGAAAAGGAGATCATTAAATGGATATTCTCATACTTAATTGCAGCAGCAGTTTATAAGTTTTTTCAAATTCTTTAAGGTTTGTGCGCCTGACCGAAAAGAGCATCAACAAAAAGGTGCTCTCATAAAGGAAGAAAACAGCAGCAGTCTATTACTTTTTTCAAATTCGTTAAGGTTTTCGCGCCTGGCCGAAAAGGACATCAACAAATGGATATTCTCATACTAAATTGCAGCAGTCTATTAGTTTTTTCAAATCCGTTAAGGTGTTTGCGCCTGGCCGAAAAGAGCATCAACAGAAAGATATTCTCAAACAAGAATGCAGCAGCAGTCTATTAATTTTTTCAAATTCTTTAAGGTTTTCGCGCCTGACCAAAAAGAGCATCAACAAAAAGATGCTCTCATAAAGGAAGAAAGCAGCAGCAGTCTATTACTTTTTTCAAATTCGTTAAGGTTTTCGCGCCTGGCAAAAAAGGACATCAACAAATGGATATTCTCATACTAAATTGCAGCAGTCTATTAGTTTTTTCAAATCCGTTAAGGTATTTGCGCCTGGCCGAAAAGAGCATCAACAGAAAGATATTCTCAAACAAGAATGCAGCAGCAGTCTATTACTTTTTTCAAATTCGTTAAGGTTTTCGCGCCTGCCCGTAAAGAACATCAACGAAAAATTATTCTCATATTTTCTCTAAGTGGCTAGATAGCTTCTACCTAAAAATGGCGTTTGAAATTTTTACATAATTAATGTCATAATTGTGGCCTATCTAACCGTATAAAAACAAACGAAGAATAATAATGGCTCCACACACAACAGTTATTCAGATTTTTGGTTCTTTTGTGTGAAAGACTATGCCTGGACTACAATAAACAGCAAAATATTTAAATTTTTGCGTGCATTTTTGTTAAATAAAAATATTTGTTTGAGCCTAAAAATGACCTGCAGCGACTAAAAATTAACGAAATTATTTATAAAAATTTCTGATTGCCTTGATTTCCTGGAAAGGTACCTAGCAGGTGCCCAGACCTCGTTTTCAAGGATCTTTTAAACTTCTTGAAGGGTTCCTGAATTGCTCCTTCCAGGGAGTCCAGGATCGCCCAATGCCTTGGCCCCTTTAAATTCTTGGCAGGAAGTCCAAATTTGTAACCCAGATAGTTTCTCTTCATTTTATCGTTCCAACTTTCCGAAGCAAATATCCCAGTGAAAAAGACCGATTTAATAACGAATCACGTGTCACTAAAACCATTGTAATGAACACCTGAATTCATAAACAAGGAGATTAAAAAAAGATTCAAAATTTGTGACGGATGCATTTTTCAACTGTGGCTCTCAATGACCAATGCTGAAAAAGCACGTATTACTTTCCCGACAAATTAATCTAAATTTGACTTTTCAAACGACACAAGCCAATTTTTGAGCTGACTAATGCAATTAAATATCTGCTGAAACCATTATACAAAAAAAAACGCATACGAGTATGTAAGTTGGCGAAATAACAGAGTGATCAAAAAGATAGAATTCACTTAATCAAAAAAACTCAGGGCTTTTGAATTACGACCGACCAAAATTCAGCACACGAACAAAAATCCGACATCAACTCAATTTTTTATAGAGTTTTTTCATACATACCGAGAGTTTTTTCATACATACCGCAAAAAGCAAGGTCCGACCGGGAATCAAACCGCAGACCTTTGGGTGCAAATGCAACCGCATTACCTTTTGAGCAAGTGAGAAGGATCCTGCAATGAGTTAAAGTTCAAAAACAAGTTCAAATTTAAGAGAATACATGCTCAAAAACAAACCGAAACTGAGCCGACGAAAACTAGAAAAAACCTACAAATCCGAAAAAACTGAAAAAATTTCCTCACTTCTCATCATTTTTATTTCTAAGAACAAAAGTAAGTGAATATCCCCGTAGAGCGCGAGCAATACAAATACAACTAACACTTTCTTTACAATGGTCATGTTAATTTTGAAACAACATAGCCAAAAATAGTTGTAAAAAAACTGATGACCTCAATGAAACCAAAAAAGACTGCTCTTTTCAACTTACATATTCAGAAAAAGCTACATCACCGTAACGTACTTTGATTTTCGAGAATCTTTTATAATGGTCCTTTTTTGTAATTGAGCTAACACAATTTACATAAATTTGATATATTCGTAGTTTTTTTAATGCACTGGCAAACCTTTAAGTCTAAAAAAAAAATCGAGCTCAATTTTATATTTTGCCTTGTTTTTGGGTTACTTACCAAAAGGAATTAAGTCATAGAGCAGACACGTCATAAAGTAAACAAATACTATAAAACCAATTAAAATCCAGAACCGAAAGCAACCTCAGGAAAAAAATATTAATACAGAGGCGAAGCGAAGTTTCGCATCACTTGCGATACACGGCAAATGCAGCATTGTAATGTAGCAATTAGAAAATGAGACATATCAAATTGCTGACCTAAAACGTTTTGAGCAATTAAGTTTCAACTATCTGAATTTTAAAAGAACTACAACTTTTTGCCTTCGAAATAACACAAAGTTATTTATAAACAAATCGATAAAACATAAATCGACTTAATTTAACGACTTATTCGGCAAATATTTACGACTTATTTATAAATTCATCGGCTATTAAATTTAGAAACTACAGAAACCAATCAAAAATACTAGCATCTACGATAAAAATTGATAACAGCACAAAAAAGCTCCCCGGTGTGGCAATTATGCCGACAAAACATGAGCAGACAAACGAAAGTCCGACAATTTAATTCTTCCCGAAAAGCCACTTATTTTTCTACACACTGAAAAAACAAGGTCCGGCCGTGACTCCAACCACAAAAATAAGGGTACAAAGGTAACCGCATTATCTTTGGGACAATAACAAAGGCGTCTCAAAGTTATAAATAAAATTCAATTTCTTCTAGATTTGTAAAAAACAATTAACGGGAAAAAAGCCTAGTTCCCGATTAAGACCCTTGGTTCCACGAGTGTAATTATTTAATTCAAGTACAAAAAACTGCCTTGTTTTTTGATAAAACCTTCGAGTTTCAAAGAAAAAAGTATGGCCTTAAACCTCTTTCAATTTCAAGAAAAATATAGGGAAACTTTCTAGGAAAATCTGAAAATTAAAATCCACTTTCGAACCTAGAAGTCGATCAATTTTTTCGTGACTTGTACACTTTTGCTTTTCGACAGTGGAGTGTGCTTTCATTTTAACAAACGAAATGAACAGAACTCAGTCAATCCGTGAAAAATCAAATTTTAACGTGAACAAGTTTTTAGACTTTTTTCTTGAAAAAAAAATTAAAAAGACCTATAAAACAGTATTCGCCGCGTTCATGATTCCTTGAAATTTTCCGAGAAGTACGCGAACATAACGAAAAACGAATGTTTAAACAAATAGCCAACCGCAAAACACGTAACAGCAAAAGAAACTTCGATTCTTAGCTTTCGATAGCTTATTGTTGGCCAGACAATACAATATACTTCGCACTAGTTGCTTGCTTAGTTGAGTGTTATCTGGGAATTGGAATCTGACAAGCAGTTGCTTTCAAAAATTAATTTCTCTTTCTAACTTAAAGAATAACACTTTCAGATTACAGTTAAAGAAATAGGTTATATTTAACATCAACATAAACTGTTCGCTCAATTTTTAAGCATTTAAGACATTGACATCGCTTCATCATCAATCCATGCTAATGCCATTTTTGTCAAAACAACCACTTATTATTCACAAACACTCCAAATTATCATAAAAACCGCTTTCTGAGTTAAATGTTTAAAGATATCAAGCAAATAACAAGGTTTCATTTTACGTCAAAACAACCTTGTAATGTTTCATTTTAGTGGAATTTTTCGAAATGTAATTTAACTTAAAAATTCAACAAAAACAAAGTGGCACATAGAAACAAAATTGGCAATGGCCAGCAAAGTATGAACAAAACTTCGTTCTATGATACAAATTTCTGAGCATAGATTTTGTATTTCGATCAAACAGCTCACATTTTAAATAATTATCACACAAGTAGTCGTTAATATTAAATCATTTATTAAGTTGCTAAGCACCAAAAGTTAACTTCAGTTTGTTTCTAGATCCAGAGCTCAATAACTAGTTTAATAACGAGTTTAATACTAAATCTATTTTATGGTTTCAGTTTCAACATGTCTTATATTTTTGGTCTCAAGTTTTAAACTTTAATCAATATTCAGTTGTCTTCACTTTTCTATGACATCTCATCTACGAAATTACTCTTTGACAAGTTAGCGTCAGTTTTCTCTGAGGGACAAGAACGAGGCAAATCAGCTCGGTTGGGTTTTCATACTTTTTTGATCCGTCGTACTTCCTGTCTTTTAAAGCAACGTTATTTCTCTCCTTTTCAGTTTCATGTAACTCTTTTCAGTTATTTCTGCTTCAAATTTTTCCATCTTTTCTGTTTCATTTTCACTCCATCGACTCCAAACTGTCTGATGTTTTGATCCCCCCTCCGCACCTGTAGTCCATCTGATTTCCCCAAAGTCCCCCCGTCATGAACTGATTGGAGACTGCACTAAGTTGTTGTTGTTGTTGACATCCACCAAAGGCGGGTCCCGGACTGCCTAGCTGCGCGTGAAAAGTGAAGGGGGACCTTCCACCGTTTGAAGCTGCGAAACTACCTACACAAATCAGTCACTTCAGAAATATTTTCTTTAATTCTCCATTTGGAGTAAATCAAAGAGAATCGAGCATAAGTTAGTTTTTTTTTTCAGATCAATTTTCGAGAAAAACCAGATACCTTGTTTGTTAACTTGAGTATACTGATCCGAATTTCAAAGAAAATGATGAATACTTATGCTTGGCGGGGGGGGGGGGGGGGTTGCAATCGGTCAACTTTCGAATTCTTAATCAGTCATTTTTGATGAATTTTCTACACATCTAAAACATAATGTTGTCTGGAGCTCAAATGTAAAAAGATATTTCATCTATGATTATCTTTCTCAAAATTATAATTATTTGAATTTGGGATTACTTTACGACTATAATTCAAATTGCGATAACAAACGTCCAATATGGTGTCACGACTATTTGCCCCAAGTCAATTTGCCCTATGCCATCTTGTCCTATACTAACTTGCCCTACATGGCAACTTGTCCTATGCCAACTTGCCCCATATGACATTTTGTCCTATGCCGTTTTATCCCATACTTAACACTTTAACTTATTTCATTGATGTTCAAATTGAGGACCAGCAAGTGCTAATGCACACTGGACTCGTTTCGAGATAACAAAAGACTAATCGAAAATATTCGAAGCTGACCCTAAAAAACCATAATTTTTGGTAATTACACGCCAAACTTCGAGAATAATCCACAATTAGCGCCTTTGAAACAAAATGAAACACGGCTATTCTTTCATTTTGCTTCATTGTTTACCATTTCGTTCTTAAACATCCACAAAAATACTTCAACATAAATACTATGAGTCAACTTACGTGGGGAATATCTCAACGAAACAAACGAACGCTAATTATTGACGGACACGATTTCACAAAAAAAGCAGATAAAATTGACGAACTTGCCTCATACTTTCAGAGAAGTTATATAAAGGGCGAAACAATTGGGCGAAACAGCAGGCAACCGTTATTCCCTATGGGTCTCTGGAACCATTCCCAAGAAGCAGCGGAAGGCTTGACACGAACGACAAACGCCGTTGAAGGTTGGCATCTTGGAGTGACAGCATTATTTCAAGGGAGCCACCCAAGCCTCTACACTTTCTTGAATAAGATTCAAATGGACTCAGCAAACCAGAAGTTCAACATTTTGAAGGCTATGGGGGGAACACAGAATCAAGGGCGGAAGAAATATCGGGACTTTCATGAAAAAATCCAAAACAATTCTAGTATTTTCAACAAAGGCCATGTTGTTGACTATTTATATGCACTAGCTCATTTAACTTGCCCCATATGACATTTTGTCCTATGCCGTTTTATCCCATATTTAACACTTTTACTTATTTCATTGATGTTCAAATTGAGGACCAGCAAGTGCTAATGTACACTGGACTCGTTTCGAGATAACAAAAGACTCTAATCGAAAATATTCGAAGCTGACCCTAAAAAACCATAATTTTTGGTAATTACACGCCAAACTTCGAGAATAATCCACAATTAGCGCCTTTGAAACAAAATGAAACACGGCTATTCTTTCATTTTGCTTCATTTTTACCATTTCGTTCTTAAACATCCACATAAATACTTCAACATAAATACTATGAGTCAACTTACGTGGGGAATATCTCAACGAAACAAACGAACGCTAATTATTGACGGACACGATTTCACAAAAAAAGCAGACGACAAAAACTACTGAGCACTGGAGATGCGCAAGATACAGTTCACACAAATGCCGCATGCTCGCCGTCACAGCAGGAGATGAACTCGCTTAAATAAAAAATGAGCACAACCACGATGTTAGACATGGGAAAATTGAGGCAAACGAGATCATGCATCAACTGAAAAAAGAGGCCAGGCTGCAAATTGTACCTGTTAATAGTAGTATAATTGCCACTTGTCTCCAGGAAGTAACTGATGAGAAAGCTGTTCAATTATCCTTGCCCAGTCGTGCAGCAATAAACAGAACTCTTAACCGCCAGAAAAATAACTTGGTCCCGTCCTTGCCAATCATTAAAGACAGGCATTTCATAATTCAGACGGAATATTCTGATTTCTGTTTATTCGACAGTGGAGTTATGGATCCAGAGCGAATTTTGATTTTCGGTGATTGAGATAATGTTCATGCCCTCCGAGTTCACAATTCTCTTTGGCTTTGTGACGGTACATTCAATTTTACCCAATGCAATTTTACCAGCTTTATACCATTCATATTCAAATCGGTGGATTTTACCCACCATGCCTTTATGCTCTACTGCCAAACAAAACTAAACAGACGTACTCAAAATTCCTGAAAGCCATCACCTCTGTCTCTGATAACGCGCAACCATCGAGGATCCTTCTAGGTTTTGAACGAGCTGCCGTAAACGCTTTTACAAGTGCGTTTCCAGGGTCTTCAATCAAAGGCTGTTAATTTCACATCTGCCACGCCTTTTTACGCAAAATTAACGAGCTAGGCTCAAAGAAAGCCTATGAAAACAACTGCGAGCTAAGCTTGGCACTGCGTTTAATACCCGCTCTCAGTTTTGTTCCAACTGATTTAGTGGAACAATCGTTCGAGAGCGTCATTGAGGAGATTGGGCATGTGGTGGACAGATTAGATCTTGAGCAAAGCCTGTCAGATAAAATTGACGAAATTGCCTCATACTTTCAGAGAAGTTATATAAAGGGCGAAACAATAGGGCGAAACAGCAGGCAACCGTTATTCCCTATGAGTCTCTGGAACCATTCCCAAGAAGCAGCGGAAGTCTTGATACGAACGACAAACGCCGTTGAAGGTTGGCATCTTGGAGTGACAGCATTATTTCAAGGGAGCCACCCAAGCCTCTACACTTTCTTGAATAAGATTCAAATGGACTCAGCAAACCAGAAGTTCAACATTTTGAAGGCTATGGGGGGAACACAGAATCAAGGGCGGAAGAAATATCGGGACTTTCATGAAAAAATCCAAAACAATTCTAGTATTTTCAACAAAGACCATGTTGTTGACTATTTATATGCACTAGCTCATTTAACTTGCCCCATATGACATTTTTCCCTATGCCGTTTTATCCCATACTTAACACTTTTACTTATTTCATTGATGTTCAAATTGAGGACCAGCAAGTGCTAATGTACACTGGACTCGTTTCGAGATAACAAAAGACTCTAATCGAAAATATTCGAAGCTGACCCTAAAAAACCATAATTTTTGGTAATTACACGCCAAACTTCGAGAATAATCCACAATTAGCACCTTTGAAACAAAATGAAACACGGCTATTCTTTCATTTTGCTTCATTGTTTACCATTTCGTTCTTAAACATCCACATAAATACTTCAACATAAATACTATGAGTCAACTTACGTGGGGAATATCTCAACGAAACAAACGAACGCTAATTATTGACGGACACGATTTCACAAAAAGAAGCAGATAAAATTGACGAAATTGCCTCATACTTTCAGAGAAGTTATATAAAGGGCGAAACAATAGGGCGAAACAGCAGGCAACCGTTATTCCCTATGAGTCTCTGGAACCATTCCCAAGAAGCAGCGGAAGGCTTGATACGAACGACAAACGCCGTTGAAGGTTGGCATCTTGGAGTGACAGCATTATTTCAAGGGAGCCACCCAAGCCTCTACACTTTCTTGAATAAGATTCAAATGGACTCAGCAAACCAGAAGTTCAACATTTTGAAGGCTATGGGGGGAACACAGAATCAAGGGCGGAAGAAATATCGGGACTTTCATGAAAAAATCCAAAACAATTCTAGTATTTTCAACAAAGGCAATGTTGTTGACTATTTAAATGCACTAGCTCATTTAACTTGCCCCATATGACATTTTGTCCTATGCCGTTTTATCCCATACTTAACACTTTTACTTATTTCATTGATGTTCAAATTGAGGACCAGCAAGTGCTAATGTACACTGGACTCGTTTCGAGATAACAAAAGACTCTAATCGCTGACCCTAAAAAACCATAATTTTTGGTAATTACACGCCAAACTTCGAGAATAATCCACAATTAGCGCCTTTGAAACAAAATGAAACACGGCTATTCTTTCATTTTGCTTCAATGTTTACCATTTCGTTCTTAAACATCCAGATAAATACTTCAATATAAATACTATGAGTCAACTTACGTGGGGAATATCTCAACGAAACAAACGAACGCTAATTATTGACGGACACGATTTCACAAAAAAAAGCAGATAAAATTGACGAACTTGCCTCATACTTTCAGAGAAGTTATATAAAGGGCGAAACAATAGGGCGAAACAGCAGGCAACCGTTATTCCCTATGAGTCTCTGGAACCATTCCCAAGAAGCAGCGGAAGGCTTGATACGAACGACAAACGCCGTTGAAGGTTGGCATCTTGGAGTGACAGCATTATTTCAAGGGAGCCACCCAAGCCTCTACACTTTCCTGAATAAGATTCAAATGGACTCAGCAAACCAGAAGTTCAACATTTTGAAGGCTATGGGGGGAACACAGAATCAAGGGCGGAAGAAATATCGGGACTTTCATGAAAAAATCCAAAACAATTCTAGTATTTTCAACAAAGACCATGTTGTTGACTATTTATATACACTAGCTCATTTAACTCTTTCGTAATTTTTAAATTGTCGGCATAATTTCCACTCAATTGTCGGCATTTTCTTGCATTTTTAATTGATTTTTAAAAAATCACAACTTTTTTTAACTTATAGCCATCGTACACGGTCCAAATTTTGAGAGATGATAAAGGCCAAAACTGCAATAATTTTTCTCTTTCCCTCACCCCGCCCCCTATTCTGGGTTACCCAGTATAGGGGGGTTTAAGGGGCGAGGCAGTACCTGCGGTTTTCCATTTCATCGATTTCATGCTAAAATTTTTTGACTTTTTCAAGCTTTGAACTCTCGACTTCTTGATTAAGAGTGTTGTGCACTATTAACTATGCTATAGAAGCTTACAAAATCAGCAATCAATCTTTTGAAATATTTTACTCGACATGAAATTGCATTGAAATTTTGCGGCTTTCATTTTTTTCATGCATGCTTTGAACTCATTTTGATTCAGCACATGTTTAAATGATTCCGCATTTTGTTTCAAGCTTAATTGTTCACAAAAAAGTCTTTCATCTTTATGCCGACAATATGTTCTACGAGGATATCAAAGAATCTGGGGCAAGTTTCATTTTTTATTATATGGGACAAGATGACATTGGACAAGTTGTCATCTGGAATCGGACAAGTTGGGCATCGGACAAATCGGACAAGACAAATCGGACAAGACAAATCGGACTGGAATCAGACAAGTTGGGCTGGGACAAGTTGACTTGGGGCAAAATGAAATGTAGCCTCCAATATATTTCGTTCTATTAAATAAAATCATCCAAATTGAATTGTGGCAAGCGATTCCCTCTCCTTAACACAACTTCCAACTTTATAATTTCGTTAATCAAATTTCAAAAATCAAACCTGCTTTTGCTCTTCATTATGACTTCTTTATATTTGAAAAAAATACATATTAGAGAAAAGCTCAAGAAATGAACTCTTAGTTATTTATGATTCATAATAACTTTGAGTTCATATGATTACAAAACAGCAAATACCGATTTTCTAATAACCAAAAATTACCTTCTTAAGTCAATTAAAAACATCGATACATATTTTAATTGTCTTAAAGTGCAGAACTTAACTCTGGTCATTTAACAAGATACCAATACGCACAATAACAAAGCAGCTCGTGAAATCCCTGGTTTTAAATCAAATTTGGTTAAAATATTCTTTTCGATGTCTATCGCCGATTTCAAACTGTACTATTTTACATTTTCTGAACGCTGAAAAACTGTTCAATTTCTGGCACAATATAAATTTTAGGATTCCCGTCTGAACGTCAATTTTGCATCGTCTTGTGAAAATGAAAACGTAATCATTTCCACTTTTATTTAGGTTGCTTTTGAAAGAATATTATTTAGTAGTGTGGCTATGTCTCTGTAGGTTCGGAGAGTTATTCACACAAATTTTAAGAGCTCGTTTGGAAGTAACTCCAAGCGCTAATATTTGAAAAAAGACCAATACGAGCAATAAGCATGGAAAAATGAATCATTTTAGCAAAAACCTATGCGACAAGGATACTGTGTTGCTGCGCAAGTTGCACGGAAAGCTGCTGTCACAATAAAAAAAAACAGTTTTAAGAAACGTTTTTCAAATTGGGTCTTTTATTTTTCATGGTGTGATGAGAGGATTTGAAAGCCTACTACTTAGGAATAACGATAGTAGTAGTAAATTAAGCATACTCGACCCAATTGAACTGCCTATTACCGAATCTGTTTTTTTTCCAAATTGACGCGTTTGAAGAACTGTCGCCATTACATAAAACCAATTGCTCACACACTCCTGTTACCTCGCAAAACTGAATGTGGAAAATTTAACTAACCTAGAGGTTAAGCAAAACTTTTAAACCTCCTTCGCATAAAAAATTCTGAGCAAGTCTCTATATATTCATAGCTCATGTCGTTAAAAAAACCAATTTCAAAGTTAAATTTCAAAAAAAAGAAGACGAGGATGACCACGTTCATTTATTTACCTGTGCTGCTCGGAGTACTACATGCTGAACTATTCAGACCCGACCCCGTCTCCATGGGAAACGGAATTTGACTTTGAAAAGACGAACTCGACGCTGTTCTCTGGTATTGCACAGGACTGGAAGCGCCCCCTAGCGGCGAGAAATTAGATGCATGGAACTCGTAACTATTATTGAAACTATTGTTGCAGTTGAAGTGATTGTTTGTTTGTGAGTTATTTGATGAAGATGATGATACGTTTAGCTGATCTGTGATAGGAAATGGCATTTGGCTGTGTTGTTGCTGTTGTTGGCTGTGAGCTGAGAATGGTCCGCCCATTTGTATATTGTTGTTTGTCGAGTCTGAAATAGATTAATTTTCATGATCATATACTTAGCAGTAGTAAGGAGATCGTTCACTTGGAGATTGTCACATCGTGTTTTCGAATTCCTGGCATAAAAACGATAGGATGATGCCCTCACTTGACCTTTAGTTTCAAGACTACATCCTGGCCGATTGGGATTGCGATAGTGGTACCACGTGGAAATTCTACACGCAAAAAAACGGCATTGAGTCGCAAAAAAAAGCTTCGCTCAGAAAAAAAGAACTGTCTGGAACGTGGGGAAATAATAGCAACGGAATATACTAAGACAGGCTTGATAAGCCTTTCATAGATCCTCTGCGAATTGTAGAAACCTTATTATTATTTATATTGATACGAACAATTGACCGGCTATTCTCACCAATAGAACACTATGTAACACCAGTTGCCGGTGTGGATCTAGTCGTTTCTTCTAATTATTCCGATTTTAGAATTATACAAACGCGTGGAAAGTTAGTGAAATTAGGCAAAAAAGAGTACAATTGTCTTCAAAAAAATTCAAAGCACTAAAAAATTTAAGTTTGTATGAAATTTTTTATGGCAGAGAAAGCGCTTATTGAAGCTTCCAACAGTGTTTTTTTGGTACCATCAATTTTTTTTATCCTAAATGGACAATATTTATATATAACGCACGTTACTGGATCGCTTTACTCGCTCAAAATCGGACTAAGTCTCAAAAATTTTAATATGGTATATATCTGAAGTCATTCAGATGATTATTTGTGATACCTGACTTTGCGTTGAAAAAAAACAAGGATCCCAGAATGTTCCGACCACAATCTTCAAAAAAACGTAGTTTTTTTTCGGCGTGTTGTGATAAAAGGAGCTGAAAAAAAACCAGAGGAATAGGCGCATTAGACAGTCGTAGTTAAATAAGCGAACTGCAAAGAAAAATTGTAGAAAAATTACTAGAAAAAAAAATTGCAGCTCTTTGGATTTGTGAAATTTTTGATTCCAAAAACGCGCTAAAAAACGCAAAGTAAAACTTTTTTTGTTTGAAATAAAGCTTTTGTAAGCTTTAACAATTAAAATAATATTGCTCGCTCGCTTTATTAGCTCGAAAAACGACAAAAAATCAAAAATTTATAGCACTTCCAAATATGAAAGTCCTCCTCATTTTCAATGGTCGGAACAAAAAACTAAAACACACCGGAAAACAAAGTTTCACATTTTTCAAATGGTCGGAACAAGGAAGCAACCATCCGTAACTTGCCTTTATGAATGAGCAACACAGCAAGTAATTACGACGTAATTGTCAATATTTCTACGGTTTGTTTAACGAATGAACATCAATCAATAGAAAAATTAAAATTATAGATAACAGCACATGAATCCCTTCCGCCTCCTATCCATAAGAGCGGTTAAAATTCGAACAAACATTACCAACAGGGAGTTGGAAAAGAGTCATGAACGCAAGGAAACAATTAAAAACTGACATATTTCAAAAAAAAACTTTTGAAATTCAAAGAAAACATCATATGGCATTAAAATTCATTGTATTTCAAGAAAAAGTAATCATTTACATTCTTGATAAAAACCGGATCATTAATAAACATTCTTGATAAAAATCGGAGAAAACTAGATCATTGGGTAAAATTTTTATTCCGCTGAGAAATCTGAAAATTTGAATCCGCTAGCGAAACTAGAAGTCGATCACGTTTTTCATGACCTTTACATTTTCGTTATTCGGTAGAGGAGTTTGCCTTCCTTACAATAGAAACGCACTGAATTTTAAAAAATTCCAAAATCAAACCGCAAAAAATCTAATTTTAGCGTTAACACATTTTACGAATTTTTTTCTGAAAAAAAAAACATTAAGGTCTTGATGATTTTTTTGTTTGTTTTTTTTTTCAGTAAAAAAATCGTAAAAAATTGTTTACGCTAAAATTTGATTTTTCGCGGTTTAACTTCGGAAATTTTATATAAGTCTTGATGATTTTTTTTGTTTAAGAGGATTCACTACCTTCAAAACTTCACTACTGTGATTGGAACATCTGTGGTATTTGCACAGCAACGAACCATTCTTATTTAGGGTATTTTTCAGTGATTGGTTGTTACCTTGTAGAAGGTGGTTGAAAGAGAGCGTCATCTCTGAGGGGAATGCGGGCGGAGTGAGTGGGGTGTTGTGGGGAGGGAAGGCCACACTCGTCTGCTGCTGCTGAAAAAAATCAATACTGAAAGAAACTCACAACCGTTACTCTATTTTAAGAAAGCAGGATAAGGCAAAAAACGTCCATTGTAAATTTTTTTTTCCTAATTTCACGTCTGCTCGAGAAACCTGATGATAAGAACTACAAAAAAAAAACACCTCGACTTAGGTTTTCCGATAATGAAGTTGTGTTAAAAGAAACAGGTATATTCAGCCCAGGTTCAGCCGCGCGTAAGTAACAAAATCCAAAAAGCTTCAGTAAACGATCACTTTTTAAACGCCGAGACTAGGCACACTTTCTGTCATATGTCGAATAATTCTGACCGAGAAACAATGAAAAAATTCTGTTAACTATTTGCACAATGCACGACTTGATTATCAACTTTCCAATTCAGAAGCATATGTGAAATCATATACGGAAAGGCGCCAATTTCTCTGCTGTAAAAAAATCGCAGATTCCAAGAACCTTTCAAAATTGAGGCATATCGAGTACTTACTTGGCTGTTCTCTTTGATCACTCTCACTTCGTCAAAGAAGTCACTCACAGCAGCCTGAAATGATTACCAGTTTGTGATTCAGAGAACACCAAACTGATAAACTTCTTCTACGAACGAATTTCGACCGACTCAAATGCCTATCATCAGGAGCGGATCCAGAATTTTTTCGAGGGGGAGGCGGATTTTCAAAAAAAAATCGAAAATTTTGGCGACTTTTTTTTTAGGTCGACAAAATTGATTTTCCGAGCTCTCCTAAAGCACTAAATAGTCCCTGTTTTGGCCAAATTTTCTGCGCCACATCCAAAATTTTGAAAAAAAATAGGCCAAAAAAGGCGTTAGTAGGCACTTATTGGAAAATTTTGACCGAAAATCGCGTTTTTTCGGCACGCGCTCCCCCCATCCCCCCTCAAGGTCGTTCGGCAAAAATTTAAGGGTCGATCGGCAAAAATTGATTTCTTAAAAAGTATCAAAGGGGGGACCCTTTGGGTCGGCAGGGAGTCGAATCACTGAGGGGGTTAAATTCGCCCCTGCCTATCATGCCAGTCAATTAATTTTTGAATTTCAAAGTTTTCCAAAAGCTTTTTCAATTAATAGTTACAATCCGTTTTTTTAACGTATACGGCCCAAAAAACGACTACAATATCGATAAAGCCGCATAAAAATTGAAGCGCGATTGCTAACTGATTACTTTGCGACAGCTTAAACAGCAGACTTCTTGGTTGCCAGAATTAACACTATGGTGTATTATCTTGGTTTCGATAGAGCAGTTAAATGTATTCCCGAATGTTAACAAACATTAACCGAAATGAATTGCTCTTTCAACCACTAATTTTGCTTCAACAATTATTTTGGATTCAACCAATCAGGTGGGAGCAGCTCATTAAAAAACATAAATGTTATATTTCCGAATTTGGGTCGAAAAAGTGAAAAACACTTTAAACAATTACTTCTAAGCCTTACCTGATAATCCCACTTGAAGTGATTTAGTATGCGCACAGCTTGGTCCTGGTTATATCCAGTTGCTCTCACAAACTCATTCGTGATCATCTGCTGTTTGATGAGCTGCAGATTGTGCAACTCCTGAGCTACATCTCCCATCCCGCCATTGCATGCAGCAGGACTCGCCACAAGAGTGTCTCTATTCTACAAACAAAGGACAATGGTAATATTTAAAAACAGAAACGACTGAAGCGTAGCTGCGCTCCGCACCACTTGCGATAAAAAAATGAATGACTATGATAAACATCGAATCAAAATCAAAAAATAAAGAAAAAATCTTCAAAAAATCGTTTTTGTCAAAAAAAAAAACAAGTAAAAAACACAACTAAAAGTAATAAGCTTTTAGCATTAACCGAGCAGTCAATAAGGCAATAAAAAGTGTGTAGACGCCCTCGGGCGTGTTATGCGCAGGGATTCCTTTCGATACCCCAAGATCCTATCCGTGGCCAAACCAGATCCATCTGGGAAGAGACCGCCAGGTTGGGTAAAACTTTCGTGCGAGAGGATCATGAAGAAAAAAGCAGAAAAAAGCTTCCGTCGCGTCTTCAGAGCGATCTGGAAAGATCACCTGGAAACAGTTGCCAGCGATCGAAACCAGTGGCGGGCAGTTCTACATGGGTGACGCCAATACCTCATCGAGGTAAAAAGGCGGATGAGGGCAACTGAGGCCGAAAAAAGATTTAAGCGAAAAAAAAAACAATTAGCATAACCTAATTTTATTTCTCCGAAAACTATCCATCAACTTTTGCCATTGAAGTAATCAACATAAGGTAACTGAGCCAATAAAACATAAGCTGAAACAATCTAGGCCGAATAGAGCCGTTTAGCGAAAAAAAAACGAAAACGAAAGAAAATATACAACATCAGGGCTATTAAGTTTATAAACTACAGGAGCAGACCAAAAACACTTGGATTTACGAGAAACGCTGACAACATAAGAAAAATCCCATGTTGCAATAAAGCCCAAAAAAATACAGGCAGACAAATGAAAGTCCGGCAAAAAAAACATGTTCAAAATCATATATACCAAAAAACAAGGTCGGACCGAACTCCAACCCCAGACCTAAGGGTCCAAGGCAATCGCGTTACCTCTAGGCCGACTAGAAAAAAATCAAGCAAGTGTTAAGGTTCCATGGTAAGGCAAGGAAGATACAACAAAATCGTAAAAAAGCACAAGTCGAGAAAAAGATGTTGAAAAAACTGTTGTAACAGATATTTCGTATGTCTCGATGAAGGAAACCTATGTACAGCTAAAACTGGATGTAAAAGTTTGACATGAGAACTAAAACGGTAATTTTCGAGCACAGTAAAAAATCCAAAAACGGTCAAAGTTTCATAACTTTCACTTATTTCAAGACCATAAAAAACTGTGCGTAACAAGTTATGAAGTAAGCTTTTAACAACCTGTTGTGTAGATTAAGCAAGGTTATGAGATCAGATTAGTAAGGGTTGTTATCGAGAAAACTCCCAAAAAACGGTCAACAAATCAGAAAGTTGACACTTCCGAGAACCATAGCTTTTTGATTTTAAAAAATTGGCGTAGCCACTAATGAGGAAGAAATTCATCCAACCTGAATTTCGATTGAACACAAACACTCAGATTTCGTAGGGTCTCAAAAAAGTTTCAAAAACGGAAAAAAAATCAAAATTTTCCGAGGGCCATAATTTTTGTAACTAAGAATTTGGAAGTAGACGCGTATGCAAAATAGCTTCTTACAACCATTTTTTGCAATTGGACCCAAAATCTCAGATATGGGATGTATTATTCGCTAAATTTAGAAAAAAAAACGTTCAAAAATTAAAAAATTTCCGAGGACGATAACCTTTAGTGTACAAAAATTGTGAGTGGCCGATAAGGCAGGGGCGCTTCCCATTATACGTTATCTCCATTGAGCCCAAAAACTCAAGTTTGGGAGGTTAATTTTCGAGAAACGTTTAAAAAGATTAAAAACGGTTAAAAAATTGAAAATTTGACTATTCCGAGGCCCATAATTTTGTGTTAAAAAAATGAGTGTAGCCGCTTATGGAGAAGAGCTTTTCAAATCCGTTCTTTTCAAAAAATCCAAAATCTCAGATTTGGTACGTTAGTTTTTGAGAAAATGAAGAAAAAATCAAAAACATAGGTCAATTATCCCCCCCCCCACAGCCTTTTTCGTAGGCTGTAGACAGAAAGGCAGTAATGACAACAACCTGGAACGAAGGACGAAAAGTTGAGAGATCACCATGATATCGGAGATCCAATCTGAGGGCCCAGGCGTCCTTTGGATGGGAGTACGCGACGAAATCACTATTGTTATCCACTCTGCAAAGTGTGGTTTCATCTTGAGACGCTCAGCCCTCGATGAGTGGAATAGAGGAAACCAGAAAATGGATTTTAAGAGACAGGGCAACTTACATCAAGATCAATAGGCTAGCATTAATATCAAAATATCAACCTGTAAGTACGCATGGTCCGGAAGCTATAGACGCATACAGGAAAGACCTCTAAAATTTACTGACCAGATCCACGCCAGACAGTTTCCTGATCATAGGAGGTGACCACAACAGTCTCATTGGATTCTTAAAATGCATTAGATCTGGCCTTCTGACACCAACTAAAGATCAAGACAGCGACCTATCGCAATTGTGCGAATAACAAGGCATAGAATGGATAAACGGTTACTCGGGACACGCAACCCGAGGTACCTGGTTCCATAAAACCTCAGCAGGTGAATCAAGACTGACGGGTTCACTATGAGAAGAAAAAAAAACAGGCATCTGCAGATGAAAGAAATGAGGACGCGCAGTGAAATGTCATACTCCGATCACAAAACCCCTCACATTAAGTCGAAACAAGAATAAAAAAATTGCACCCAAGCAACGGGACCACTCCAAACATAAAGGGCAAGACATTACCCATAATGGAAACAGCTCTACAGATCACAGCAAGGCTGGGAAAAGTTCGCGAATGTGACATCCAAGCTGCATGTCACTATTTACCGGGTAATGCAGAGAAAAAACCAATTATTGTTAAATTTATTTACAATGGGCAGCGTGACTATGTATGGCGAAACAGATTTACGTTAACGGACAATGAATCGACGAAGAATATTTTCATCGTTGAGAGGCTTCCAGAAATTGACCGAGATACAGTGAATTATGCAAAAGAGAAAGGTTTGAAATTTAAAACAAACAATTGTCAACCACTTCTCAGAATAAATAATAAATGGGTTCCAGTTAACAGTCGCGGTGAGATTGACAAAGTTGCCAGCGGATTTTCGGAAGAATTAGATGGTAACAAAATGGATACAGGAATTCAGGGAAATACACAGATAATCGACGAGTCTTCTTATTCCAGAAATGAGTTATTCCAAATGAAACATGGTACTGCGAAAAACAAATATGCAATGTATGGAAAACCTAGAGGGGAGAAGAGGCAACGAGAGAACGTTGATATGGAAGATAAACTGGACAAATTGTGTGGTCTAATTGAAAATGTAATCGCAGTGGTAAGCTCACCACCTGGAAAAATGGCAAAAGCGCCGGTCAATGTGATAGAGTAGGAGGACGCGGGTGAGATCGAACCTACTGATACTTAGCATTTTTAAAAACCTAATCGATGACTTTGCCAGCTGATAAAACACTTCTTTTTCTAAATATGGCGGCTGAGGGCAACTGAGGCCGAAAAAAGATTTAAGCGAAAAAAAAAACAATTAGCATAACCTAATTTTATTTCTCCGAAAACTATCCATCAACTTTTGCCATTGAAGTAATCAACATAAGGTAACTGAGCCAATAAAACATAAGCTGAAACAATCTAGGCCGAATAGAGCCGTTTAGCGAAAAAAAAAACGAAAACGAAAGAAAATATACAACATCAGGGCTATTAAGTTTATAAACTACAGGAGCAGACCAAAAACACTTGGATTTACGAGAAACGCTGACAACATAAGAAAAATCCCATGTTGCAATAAAGCCCAAAAAAATACAGGCAGACAAATGAAAGTCCGGCAAAAAAAACATGTTCAAAATCATATATACCAAAAAACAAGGTCGGACCGAACTCCAACCCCAGACCTAAGGGTCCAAGGCAATCGCGTTACCTCTAGGCCGACTAGAAAAAAATCAAGCAAGTGTTAAGGTTCCATGGTAAGGCAAGGAAGATACAACAAAATCGTAAAAAAGCACAAGTCGAGAAAAAGATGTTGAAAAAAACTGTTGTAACAGATATTTCGTATGTCTCGATGAAGGAAACCTATGTACAGCTAAAACTGGATGTAAAAGTTTGACATGAGAACTAAAACGGTAATTTTCGAGCACAGTAAAAAATCCAAAAACGGTCAAAGTTTCATAACTTTCACTTATTTCAAGACCATAAAAAACTGTGCGTAACAAGTTATGAAGTAAGCTTTTAACAACCTGTTGTGTAGATTAAGCAAGGTTATGAGATCAGATTAGTAAGGGTTGTTATCGAGAAAACTCCCAAAAAACGGTCAACAAATCAGAAAGTTGACACTTCCGAGAACCATAGCTTTTTGATTTTAAAAAATTGGCGTAGCCACTAATGAGGAAGAAATTCATCCAACCTGAATTTCGATTGAACACAAACACTCAGATTTCGTAGGGTCTCAAAAAAGTTTCAAAAACGGAAAAAAAATCAAAATTTTCCGAGGGCCATAATTTTTGTAACTAAGAATTTGGAAGTAGACGCGTATGCAAAATAGCTTCTTACAACCATTTTTTGCAATTGGACCCAAAATCTCAGATATGGGATGTATTATTCGCTAAATTTAGAAAAAAAACGTTCAAAAATTAAAAAATTTCCGAGGACGATAACCTTTAGTGTACAAAAATTGTGAGTGGCCGATAAGGCAGGGGCGCTTCCCATTATACGTTATCTCCATTGAGCCCAAAAACTCAAGTTTGGGAGGTTAATTTTCGAGAAACGTTTAAAAAGATTAAAAACGGTTAAAAAATTGAAAATTTGACTATTCCGAGGCCCATAATTTTGTGTTAAAAAAATGAGTGTAGCCGCTTATGGAGAAGAGCTTTTCAAATCCGTTCTTTTCAAAAAATCCAAAATCTCAGATTTGGTACGTTAGTTTTTGAGAAAATGAAGAAAAAATCAAAAACATAGGTCAATTATCCCACCCCACAGCCTTTTT